ATGAGAGAGTCATCCAGAAATTATAGCAGTGGATCAACAAGTTGTGAAGAAATGTTTGTACAGGAATCCACCCTGAGGGCAGTGGGACAAGGCAGGAACAAGGGGGGTCTTGAAGGAGTAAAAGGCTGGAGATGACCAGCTCTGGTTGTAGGATATGCTTGACAGGAGATGAAAAATGAATTTATGATGAGAATCATAGAATCATTTATGTTGGAAAAGACTTCTAAAATCAGTGAATCTTACTTTAACCCCACAGTGCCAAGCTCCCCCATCCCCGCAGAGCTGCTCATCCCCATGCATGGCTGCCCAGGGATGAGGAATATCCTGCCTCTGCTCAAAGAGGAAATCCAGTGAATTGTGGTGGTTTCTGTCCCTCATGAGAATTTCCTCACCTGTGCACTGTAGCAGGAAAGGCAGACACACATTCTGCACTGTTCCTCACCTGGATTTTTTCTAAATTTTAAAATACTCATATTTGTTATGAGTCCCCCGCGAAGGTGTTTAAGTCTTTGGGTTTTGGTGCTGTAGGAGAGGGAAGGGTGTCACCAAGGCTCCATGTGGGCTGTGTGCAGGACACAACGGTCCCCATGCAGTGTCTGTCTTAGTCCTCTGTCCACATTGCCCCTGGTTTGTTTCCTTTGAAATACAGTATATTTTAGTGGTGCCTAAGTGGGGTTTTGTCACCGGGTCCCATTTACTAGTCCCTAAGGGCCTGACTGTCATCCCAGTACCATGTGAGCTCCCCTTGTAGGACAGTAATGTCAAAATCCTCACGTCTCTTCTCCTTTTCCCTTCCTCTTCCCCTTCCTCATTCCTGGCTGAATGGAGTTTATTTGGGTGGGATTCCAGCATCCAGCTCATCGTGCTTTGCCCAGGCCCAGCGGCGTTGGGGTCCTCGTTAGTGTAACGCTGCTCGTAAGGCAAATGTCAGCAGGAATCTTGATTTAGGAATTTCTCAAGAGTTCATCGAGGGAGAGTTTACCTTTCAGCACTGACCTTTCTCACTGAGCACAGACAAACGTGCGAGCAGGGTCTGTGTGAGCGTGGCAGTTTGCAGGAGAAGGCTCCAGACACACATCCCTGCCTCCTGCCCCTGCCTCAGCCTGGGCTGCCAGCCTGCTTTGGGTTCCAGCTCTTGGCTCCTTGACATAAAGCACTTGGCTGAGCGTGGAGGAGCATCTCACACGCATGTTAAATGGGGATAAAGGCACTCTGCTGAAGGATGGGTTGGTAATAAAGCCTCACTGCCTGACAAGGTCCAGCTCTTGCTGTGCCAGCCCTGCACAGCAGCTCCCAACTCCACCAGCACCAATACTGGCACTGAAAAAACCTGCTGGGGCTGCTTTATGAACCCTGATTTTTTATATCATTCTGTGTGCCATCTCACATTCCCTTGCTGCTTTTCAGTGCTCCCCAAGCCACTGTAACACTGGGCAGAGTAAGCCTGAGGCTCCCCAAAGCCTGTCCCTGTGGCCTGCAGGCAAACGTTCACCTGCTGATCAAAATTCACAGCTCAGAGCCTTCTCTGTAAGAAAACCACAGCAAATTCAAAGTGAAGCAAGCAACACATTAGTCCTGTTCCATCACTGCCAGAGCTCCTGGCTGCTGGCCCTTGATCTCCATCGGCGCAGGAAGGAGCTCAGAGGATGGAGGATGGCTCGGGCTGAAGATGAAAGGTGGTTGGCTGTGACTTAGAAGCACATCTAATCTTTTGCACATCTCTCCTGACCCTGATCTATCACAGGGCTTCCTGGGGACACCTGGGGTTGTGAATTTTGCATAGAGGGAGCCTTTGAGCTGGAGGTGCTTAGGCACAGTCTTAGAGCTTCCTGTGCACTTGCTTGGGAAATGGGACCTGAAATCCGTCCTTTGCTGCCAGGACTTCCTGAGTGCTGGCAATTGTTGGAAGGGGAGAAGATGGCCCTGCCAGCCCTCAGTCACTGCTGAGTCAGTCTGATGGATCCAGAGTCAGGGATTCCTGCTCAGCTCAGCCCCTGCCCCTGCTGGGACCCTCCTGCTCCTGGCATCAGGTCACAGCACTGGTTCCCTCCCCTCCATGGGCAGCACAATCCCCTGACAGTTCTGCAGCAACAAGCTTCCAAACATCTGCCCCAGTTCCTCTTCTTGCCATGGGATGTTGGTGGCCAGGGGAAAGGCTCCAATTCCTTCCAGCCTGTGAGGAGTTAATGTCAGTGCTTAATTCCCACAGCTCACAGCAGCCTTGGACAGCTCCTGACAACCTCCAACATCAGGAATTTTGTCATAGGACACAGTTTTCCAAAATGTGTTCACTTTTGTTAGTGATGCAGTATCTGGAGTCTAGAGGATTGCAGGCATTCTTCCTTCTTCCTTTCAGTCCCAGGGTACTCCAGGTTTGTGTAAAACAGACTTGTTTCCAGCTAGTTCTTGCCAGAACACATCAGGATTCACTAGCTGGGGAAGTTGTTCAGGGTCCCTTTGCTGTTGTGATGGTAAAGGTGCCTCTGGCTCCAGGTGAGCTCACCTGAGCTCCTGGAAGAAGACAAACACTTAGCATAGCTGAGCAAATAATTTAAATACAGCTTTCTGAGGCTGCCGAGCCTCCTGCTAATTATGGGAGCTTTCTGTTTCATTTGTAGGGTCTGGAGCGAAGTGTTGGCTCTGGAAAAGCTTCCAGCTTTTTCTGTGGAGTTTTTCAGGCACCACATGGAGAGGTGCCAGGGCATCCCAGCCTCCAGATAGCACTTCCCAGGCAGTGGAGCAGCCTTTGGCATGCCCCTCTCCCTCCTGTGAGCAGTGTGGAGGGTTGAACCCCTGGTCAGTAGATGAAAAATTACCTTTTCACTCCCCACCTGAATAACCAACCCCCTGCCAGCTCTTCCTGCAGGTGTGAAAGCCTTACCTCCAGTCTTAAGAGATGCAAAGAGAGTGGCCAGGGTGGGATATGGGCTGCGGGGGCACAGAGAGTCTCTGGGGTTCCTCAGTTGGTTGTTCTGGAGGTTTCTGGTGCTGCTGTGGGGTTTGCAGGAGTATTTTACCAACAGGATGCCCCCAGCCATGCCGTGTCCCGCTGTCCCTCGGAGCAGCCAACTGGGTTTTCTGTGTGACTTGGCAGGAAAATTCACATCCATTTTATTGAACCAAAGGGAAGAAAAGGGGGGAAAAGTGCTGGCTTGTAGTAATAAAGGGCTTTGGAACATCTCAGCTGGATATTTTTTCTTCACGAGTGAGAAGGCCAAATGTTATCTTGACATTTAATCTTTAATAATAAAAAAAGGCTCTTTGTTTGCCAGCGAAGTCCAAAATCTGTTTACTCTCTCAAGCCTTATTTCTTTGAACTTGCTAGCTTAGATGTCCTACTTACCCTGCCCTGCTACCAGTCCAGAGCTGTGGTGAATCATTTATTGTGCAGAGCTGCCTTGCCTGTCACCACAGAGCCACCAGCTGCCAGGTGTGCTCCTCTTGACCAGTTCATGCATTGGGGAGCTGGGGATGCTCTGCAGGGGAAGGGCCAGGGCAGCAGAGGTGCAGCCTGTGCCCAGCTCAGCACTTTGGTGGAGCACGAGGCTGGCTCCAGCTGCTCTCCAGGAGAACCCTGTGCTCAGTCCACCCTTGGGCACAGGTCACTGCAGGTCACCAGACCTCAGAACCCGTTCTAGTGTCTAATGGAGAAGTTGCAGCCAGAGGAAGAGGCTGAAGCAGCCTTGGGGCAGCCTGGAAGGTGGAGGTGGAGGCAATGGGGTCGGTGCCCAGTGGGGTTTGGGGCAGGCTGTGGTGGTGGCCCGTGTCCAGCCCCGCTGGCCATCGTGTCCTGGCACTCCCTGCGGTGGGGACACGGTGGGGACCCGGTGGGGACACGGTGGGTGTGGCAGACCAGGCTCCCTGTGCTCCCCAGGGACCTTGCAGGTACCAGCCAGGTGTAGCTCCAGCTTCCCGCAGCCATCTCCATCCAGCTCCTCCCAGTCCGCTGACTTTTCTTTCGCATTGAAACTTCTTCCTCATAAATTCTACATCCAAGAGCAGCCGTGAGAAATGCCAGAAGCCTGATCATCTAACATGCTTTAATATCTAAATTTCTTCTTCAGTATCATTCTTATTTACATTGTTTTTCTTTCTCAAAAAAAAAATTTAAGGGAGGAAAAAAATTAAATTTTCTTTTACTTCCACATTAGGAGGTGAGTTGTCATCCACCCTCTGGAATTCTTTTTTGCTTTTGATCTTTATTTATTTGTTTAATTTTGGTTGATGTCCCAAGCATGGTTTTGGAGACGAAGGTAGGTCTTCGCTCTCCAAATCAAAAGGAAAAAAAAAAACCTAAATAAAATAACACTCTCCTTGGTCATATTTAAAAGAGAAAAATCCAAACTGTTCCATTCCATATCATTTAAAGAAAAAAAAAAATCACCTACTGAACTATTTCTACAGCTCACTGATCTAAAAGGGCGGGTTTTTTCCAAAAGTATCGAATGGATCCAAAAACTATTTTCCTAGACGTGATTCAAGTTATTTGCTGTCAACATTTTAATATCAATACTACCACAATGTGTAGTCTCAAACTAGTTCCTTTGTAGTTTGCATGGGATGTGAATGCTGTCTCGGCGTGCCCAGACCTAGAGAACTTGTTACTACTGCATGAGCATCAAGTCAGATGTTGAAAAATACCTATTATATTTTGTGATAATTTGGTGAAAATGAGCACCTCCAGTCTCTGGTTGCAGTAGTGTGTTGAATGATTGTTCTTTTTTTTCTTTTTTTTTTTTTTTTATATATATCCATATATATATTTTTGGAGCTCTAAGCTTCGTAGTAGTCCGGGCTGACTCTTCTCCAGTACTTGCTCTCCTCTCGCATGGCCTTGGTTAAGTGTTAGAATTGGGCCTAGGCTGTTTATTCTGGTGTTTGGCTTTGTAATTCCGGTGCATGCCCGGCGTCTGGCCTCATACCCAGCTTTATTCTCTGCACACCAGTCTTGAATAGCTACAGTGCTCAACCGAATTTTGGCGCACCCGCTTCCCCGGCAGGCTCCAACCCAGCGCGGCCCGGAGGCTTCCCCGGCGCCAACAGCCCCGGGCCCGTGGCGGATCTCTACGGCACGGCCAGCCAGGACTCCGGCGTGGGTAACTACATAAGCGCCGCCAGCCCGCAGCCGGGCTCGGGCTTCGGACACGGCATCGCCGTAAGTACCCGGCCGGCTCGGGGGGCTCGGGGGGCTCCGGGGGCTCCGGGAGGGGCTCGGGGGCTCGGGTGGTGGTGGTGGCCCCATGGCCAGCGGGGCTTCTCGCTGCCGGAACCTGTGAGCTGCCAGCTGTGGGGTGAGCGCTGATTATCGGGGCGTTCCAGCTGGAATTGTCAAGGGTGGAAAACACTCCAGAATCTTCGAGTCCAGCCTTTGACCCATCAGCCCTTGTGAGCCTCATATCACAACGTGCCATGTTTCCAGCGATGGGGACTCCACCGCTGCCCATTCCAGGGATTAATCACTCTTACACTGAAGAAATTTTGTCCTAATATCCAACCTGAACATCTCCATCCTTTTGAGTCATCTGCAGCCAAACATGACCTGTCCTAAAGAGAAATATTTCATAAGTATGGGATTTAAATCCCTGCTTGTCCATATGGGCTTTACATCAGCCCAACTACCCCTCCTGGCTGCTGCACCCTTTGGCAGGCAGAACAACAGTCCTTGCTCCCACGAAACAAGCAAAATTAGCTCATTAATTTGGGTGGTGGGACCCCCAGCAGGGGGACAGGACATGTCCTGCTCCTCTTCACCTGTCTGCTGACCCTTGGAGTCCCTTCCAGCTGGTCCTGGCGTCGCTGGCAGCCGCTGAGAGCCGCAGGTTCGGAGCGAGGGGCCCCGCTGGGCCAGGGGTCACCGGGAGGTGCCTCCTAACGCCGCCGTGGGGCTGCCACCGCACTAATGAGGGCAGAGATTGGCTTAACAAGGCTGCACGTGGCTGTGTCACCTGTGTGTGAGCATGAATGGGGCTGGCCTGCCCCGCTGGCACCCCCAGCACAGACTGCAACGGGGCTCCTGCCCTTTCTGGGGCGCAGTCCGGAGCTGGTTTTATCTCCCGGACAATGAGGAAGTGCAGAGGCTCCCCCGAAGGTCCCTCAAACCGAGGGGAGAACTTCTCTCCCTGAGTGTAGTGCAGACAAAGTTCCTGAAGCTGTTATTTTTATTGCAAAACAGACAAACAAACCCTCTGCCTGACTTTGTGCCCGTGTGCTCAATTCCCAACCCGGGCCTGCCCCTCCCATGGTCACACCATGGACTTGACAATCCCTGTGGATCAATTCTAGCACAAACATGGAATATTACTGCTCTGCAAGGAGCTACATCCATTCAAACTGCCACCTCTCACCACTTACAACATCTCTTATTTCCATTTTTCACCTAAAAACCAGCTTGTGCTTGAAAACTTGGGCACTTTTGTATCAGCAACATCCCGATTTTTCAAGTGAAAGGACACCAGGTCCAAGCCTGGGTATCCAGATTTGTCTGCACTAACACTTCCCAAAGAACCATTTTATAATTGACTTGCAGATTGGTAGCCTCTTAATTCCCCCAATAACTGCAAAGAATCCCATAGCTTATATTACATATATATTTGTTTAACACTCTCCATTTACTAACCCTGGTTTAAAAATAAAGAAGGGAGAACCCCAAAGCTTATTTTTGCACCTGGGGGAATGAGAAGATGATGGTCTTGGAAAGGTGACCACAGGGCTGAGCACACCTGGTGACCAGAACAGCTCTTGGAAATCCCTATTCATGCTGGCAACACAGTCTTTCAAGTCCTTTGATAATTTCTTGGCAAAATTAATAATCAGCTGTTCCCATGTATAGAGCACTGATGAACTTAACAATTGTACAATTTTAGGGACCTTTGATTGCAACGGCTTTTACAAATGGATACCATTGAAACGTTACACATGGTTGGTTGCCATCTCACTTGGAGGTATTACAGTATATCCCATTTGTACTTTGTGCTGAACTACCATCTCCCCTATATTTACTTTAAGTGAACAATTTTTTTATCTTCATTTCGTCTTTCCTTGGCCTTTAATCATTCCTTTCTGTGATTTGTGTTACTCGAATCAACCTCACGGGCTGGAAACTGGAAGACAGATCCAAAGCTAAAATAAAAGTCACTTTTCCATCTTCATGATGCTTCATGCAATAATTTGAAAAGGCAGGAAACCCAGAAAGCTGTGGGGAATCACCCCCAGTGCCAGCAGCCAGAATCCCAGTGGGATCAGAGATCTGCTCCCAGCGCACGGGTTTAAAAATAGCTGAGCCACTGCTTTATTACTGAGAAACCATCATTCTTAATTAAGTGCTGTACCAAATATTACAGCTAAAAGATAACATTGTAACTTGTAACCATAGAGCAATTATCAAGATTAAAAAAAAATTAAACCTGAGCAAATTAAATTAAAGGCATTACCTGAGCACCGCAGCCCTGGATCGCTGCCAGTTTCCTACCCTTTGAACTAAGCTCGAGTTAATTAAATGTTTAATTTTTATTTTTTATTATTATTTGGTCTTTGGCATATTCATCTTTGCAAACAAATATTCTTAACACTCGGCATGGAATAGATTAGAAAATGCAATGAAAAACAGAAGTTATCCCAATTAAATGGCATGGGTTTGCCTCCAGAGTTCTGAGCCCGGACAGGCAGATGGAATGGATGTGACAGATTTTATTTCCCTGCCTCTTGCCCAGCACTACATGATCAATGTCACATCATTTACGTTCAAAAATCAGTCTATGAAATTAGAATTAAAGTTAGTCAAGGGGCTGGGAACTGTGGAAAACGTTTGGAGACTTTAAACTACATAAAAATAGATTTATACCAAAACTAGTGGATAAAGGGGGTCTCCATTTACTCTCCATCTCCACACACACCCCCAAGATTACCTGAAATTGTTCCATCAATTGATTTGCTCCACCAAGGAGTGTTTTTTCTGGGGAAGAAAAAGGTGCCATGAGCACTCTTGCTTAATCCCAGCTATTACTTGCACGTAGCAGGGCCCGCTCGCCGATCAATTTGTCAGCATCCTTCACGTTTCCTGGGCCGTCAGCCTCTGGAATGGTGAGGTGGTACCCGAGGCCAGCTGGAGCCCGAGCAGAACATCATAAGTCAGGCTAATAACGCGCGGTGACGGCAGCCCCGCCAGATTGATGGGCTGTAATCACTCCTCACTTAGCACAGCCCATCACTGCAGCCATCACTTACTGGCCAGTGTTGAGACTCAAACCATTAGCGACTTCAAAACAAAGTGCTTTTAATGTTGCTCATTACTAATTAAAATGGATTTTGAGAGGAGGAAATGAGCCTTATTATTAATTCCTCAAGGAGCGCCGAGTTTGAAACGCTTGCGGCAGCGGCTGCTCCTGGCATCCCCAGGGCAGGATTTGGCTGAGCTGCAGGTCCCCGGGGCAGGGATCGGTTCCCACACCCCTCAGGATGCTGCTGGGCCCTCACCCCAGCACAGCTGCTTGGGGATGGCTTTTGGAGGTCGTCAGGGAGCATCCTCTCCTGGCCATCATCTGCCTGCAGAGCCGGTGCCCTAAATATTTATATTTCTTTTCTACCTCATATATCTCAGCTTTAAGCACTGGCAGGGATAGAGCATTGGAGGCTGCATAAAATAAATCCTGGCTGCCTCAGTGTGCCCAGGTAGAACTTGTCACCTTGCAGGTACTTCAGACAAATCCATTTTACCAAAGCCGTGTGAATTCACGGCGTAACAGATGCCTGAGGAGCCGCTTTTGTCCTGGCCGTGCATCAACTCACATCTTACTGTTCCTAAACTGGAAATAAGAGCAGGGAATTCATGAGACCCCCTCTCCATGGGGGCTGTCCTGGGAACAGCTCAGCATTCCAGCATCCTCCCTCGGGATGGATGAGGCAGGCTGTGGCTGCAAAGTGTTCGCAAACACTTTGGGGTATTTTTGTTAAAAATCCTCATCGAGCTCAATTAACTGTCCCTCTCCGTGTCCATGTCCACCTTCTCCCCACACAGAGTCTCTCTGGATGTCCGGGCAAGACAGGGCGAAGTTTCTGAAGGGGCCCACGGTTGGGTGATCTCGTCAGACTTTGAGCACTACATCATCATCATCATCTTCATCACCATCACCGCCAACGCAAACCGGAGGTGGCACTAGAAGGACTTGGGTTGTTTAAAATCTCTCTCATCATCTCATGAATCTGCTGTACTATAAAAACAACAGCCTTTAAAAGTATGTATATAAAACCCATTTCTTGTTCGTTTTATTTTCTCGATGGGTTCTCCCCCCTGCCCTTTTTAAACCTCTCCAAACCCACATCTTTTCGTAGCCTTTTTGACATAGTCTCGTAGCCACGTAGTCAGAATTCTTTGTGTATGTAGCGAGAGCCTAACCATAGTGTAACTGTTATATTAAGGGGTTTCTTTTGCTTTTTCTTTCCCACCTCCCTTCCTCCTCCTCCTCCTCCTCCTCCTCCCTTCTGTTTTACGTAGTTGTTGTTGCTTAAAGGATGCTGAGATGGTGACAGGAGCCGCGGCCGCGGGGGGAGCGGAGCCGGCGGCGGGCGCAGCACGGGGGGCTGGCAGGGCACGGGGAGGGGGCAGCAACAGGTTCTCTGGCCCTTCTTTTCCTTTGTGGCGTCTTGGTTCCTCTAATTCTCTCTATTTTCGGCAATAAGGCGAGGGCGACAAACTTTTTGCGCGTCCTTTTTCTATATAAGTGCTTTTTTTTGTTGAAAGAGGTGATATAAAGGTTTTTTGAAATCGCGACTTCTGAAAAAAAAAAGAAAAAAATAATAAAATGCTGTAAATACAATTCCATTAACTACATAGAAACTATTAAGAAAGAGAAATACAAACCTATTTTTGTGACGGAGTCAGCCTAAGGCAGTTTCTCTATGGAAATGGATAAAAAGACAAGGAAGTTGTAGCCCTTCGGAGCGACTGCCGGAGCTGGCCCGGGGGGTGTGACGCTCTGGGACCCCCCAGCTCGCCCAGTTCATCCCAGCAGCTTCGCCCTCCGACCTGCACAGCTTGCAAAGGAACAGTCTAGTGGTATTTGTATTTTAATTTAAAACCTGCTTTTCCCAAAACTGATCAAGAAGCTACGATTTTTCCTACTTATCGCATTTACGGTTCAAAGCACACCTTTATTTTGGTTTTTTTTTTTGGACTTTTTTTTTTTAGTCATCGTTTTAAACTAGGTCAACTTGCTGTCCAGTCATTTCAGCTGCTCTGGGCACCCCATGTGGGCTGAGCAGCGTCCAGCTTGCATGGTTTCCTTTATTATCCATCACTTTCTGTATTGTCAAATTAGAAAGCAACTTTGGTTGGTTTTGATTTATTTTTTCTTTTTTTTTTTTTTTTTTTTTTTTGGGAATACCTCAGTGCTACAAGTTTCACCCTAGAAGCAACGGAAGATTTTAATTTATTGTAGTTGTAAACAGAATTTAAAAGAAATAAAGTATAAAACATCATTGCACTGTGACTGGTAGGGGAAAAACTGACAGTTTCCTATTTGCACATGTTTAATATTTGGCTGTTATATATATGGTCCTCTGTTGGGGGAGGAAACTTATGAAGGATATTTTTTAATTTAATTTTTTTAATATTGGTAAATAGGCCTGCAACAGCAAACTAGAAGTACAACATGGTAGGTGGCATTAAGAACATACTGTAGTGTGGATATATTTCTTCTTTTTTTAACGTAATATTGACAAGTTTTATTAATATTTTTTTAAATTGTTACGTTTATAAATTTGGTACTTTAGGTACAGCCAGTATAAGACACTGAATGCGACATTTGTTAAAAAGAGCTGCTGCACTCCTATTTTTGTAAATTTTACTAACAAGTAGAGTAATGTAGACATTCAATAGACAAGGTAGAGCAAGGCATCTTTAACAAAACAAGGCACCATACTGCTAACCGAAAGGAGAAACCTTGTTTTTCTTGTTTTTAAAAAAAAAATCATGCTTTTTATGTAATATTTTAGGTTTTTTTCTTATTTCAGAACAACCAGGTTTAAGCAAAATGCTGGACGCTTTTTAAATATTGAGACTTGATCAAGTAATAAAAGAAATAAAACCGAATTCTTTAAAAAATAAAAAGGTAAAAAAAAAAAATACTACGAACCAAATTCCCTGCGATTCAGTGTGCCGTCAGGGAATTTTTTATTGCTATTTTGTCAATGTTGATGATGTACTGTACTACCAGTTGGTTTTCCTCTCCATTCCCTGTCACCTCATAGAATATTCTTTGTTGATCATTGTTGTATGTTAATAGTGTATAAAATGGCTTATCTTGTAAGAGTGCTGTCCTGATGGTAGTGTAGTGAATTTCCCCCCCCTCTTTCTCTCTTCCTCTTCTAGTACATATTGGTAGGTGTATCGTAATTAAGGTTAAAAATTTAGATGTAGTTATTCAGATTTAGGACCAGTAAGGATAGAACTTTCTCTTATTTAAGAAAAAAAAATTGCTAATAATTTTGGGAAGGTTTTCCTTTTTTTGTTTTTTTTTTTTCTTCTCTTTTTTCTTTCTGTGCTTTTTTTCTCTTGTTTTTTTTTCTTCTGTTGATCTGATGCGGTTTCAACTAACCAAAGGTCTCACAATGTTAAAAATGCTGGCAAACTCTTAAGGCATTTGTAGATCCCCACCCATGACTTTGGAAAGGGGATGTGCCATACTACCTTAAATGCTAATGCTAGATATGCAAAACTGGATTTTTTTAATTTATTTTTTAAAAGAGGGAGGCACGGTATATTAAAACGATTTTACTAAGAGAAAAAAAAAAAACATATTTTTTTAAGAATGCTCAGAAGAAATTGCTAATCTGTGTGAATATGTTTTAGATGTTTATATACCTTTTGAGAAGTCCCAGTGGCCCATAGCACAAATGTCGTGGAATCCAAGATGTTTTGATGTGGCTACCTAGACTAAGGTTCACGTTAGTCCCCACTCATCTAGAAATCAATTTTGAAGGATTTTTTTTTTCCCTTCGTTCGTTTGGGGGTTTTTTGTAAATTTTTCAGCACAAAGGCTCAGCTCCACCTTTGTTTTACTCAAGCCCAGGCGGGAGCGAAGGATGGTGGAATCACGGAGGGGTTTGGGTTGGAAGGGACCCTGAAGGTCCGGTGCCACCAGGGACCCTCCCGCTGTCCCAGGGGGCTCCGAGCCCCGTGCCCAGCCTGGCCTGGGACCCTGCAGGGACAGAGTCCTCTGGGACACCCTCCCTGCCCTCTGCCCCAATCTCCCAGCTGGGATCAGCAACACTGGGCACCCAAGGGCCAGTCCCAAACACCAGGGACATTCCCTGGTGCCACCAGGGCTTGGGACCTCCCCGTCACATAGAGTCCTTTGTGATCGGCTTGATTAAAGCAAAGCCTGATCTGTCCTTTGGGGTTTTTATTTTTTTATTACACTTCATAAATGTTAATTTTGAGTTGAATTTGTAGCTTGGACTTTAAGGTAGCATGGCTCTCTTTGCTGTAAGTTGATTTTTTTTCCATTGTACAGCAGCGTCTGCTGGTGAATGTCACACATCTTGCTAGGCTTAGTTAAATCATTGGGTAATTGTGGGTGATAACGACCTGAAAGGTGTTGGGATTTCTTTTCTTCCCTGCTTTCATCTGTAGTGTGAACGAGGGCTAGCGACTCCAGCCACACGTCCCTTCCTGTTTCGTTTCTGCCATTCACTCAATGCAACATAATCAATAATAAAGCAATATAGTTTACTACATTTTTACTGAAGGCCAGCCATGGTTCTGTATGATATTGCATACGAAACTGTTTACAAAAACAAAAACAAAAAAAAAGAAAAAAAAAAAAGAAAAAAAAAAAAGACAACACTAACTCATAGCTGTCTTTTATGCTATGGCGATGTCTCTTGGGTGGAATCTTCTGAATTCTTTTTTTTAGTGGTTTGGTTTGTTTTTTTCAAAGCGACATAGTTAGCTGAGAGAGAGGGAGAAGCGAGGTTAGTGTCAAAGAGACAGGATGCGTGGAAGGCACACCGGCAGCCCCGGTCTCGCACAGACACTGTAGAGTTTCCTGGTACAGAACAGCCGGCCCCGCGGAACACTACGTCAGGAGATTCTGTAAGCTAAGCAATACTTTATACTGTACTGAAATTACCAAAAACAACCACAACAATAATAATAACGATGATGATAATAATAATTTTTAAAAAGGAAAAAAAAAAAATGTAGTTTGAGAAAGCAAATCCTCGTGGTGGGTTGTCGGTCCCCCCCAGCAGTCCGACCGTGTTGTGTGGAGAGCTCGGTGTCCGAGCAGGGCCTGGTGGTCAGCGGGGTCAGCGGGGTCACCCCGGCCCAGCAGGGCCCAGTGGGGTCACCCCAGCCCAGTGGGGTCACCCCAGCCCAGTGGGGTCACCCCAGCCCAGCGGGGTCACCCCAGCCCAGTGGGGTCACCCCATCCCAGCGGGGTCACCCCATCCCAGTGGGGTCACCCCATCCCAGCGGGGTCACCCCGGCCCCGGGCCCGTCTGTCGCGTGACCGTCGTAGGTAGCACCCCCGTCATTCTCTGTCGTACGAGGTCTGAACTCCCATCAGTACTAGGATGCAAGTGAGCATTTCAGGTGGTCATAAATGTACCTAAATAAACTATGGCACAGTGGCAGGCCTAGCCCTTCCTTTTATACTTTAGTATGAACTGATGAGAACTTTGGTAGTGACTTTTTTTTTATATATATACATATATATATGTATCTATATATATCAAGCATCTTTCAGGTCTCTGTGTATGGCTTTCTGAAGCCCTGTTGTAAAATACTATGTGGATGGGGGTCTCTCACATCACAGATGTGGAAAGTATAATTTTATATTTGTATTTTCAAATAAATAAGTTTGTGAAAGGTTTCCATCCTCTACTGTGGTCCAGAAATCAATGTGTTTGTCTGACGAAAAAATACAATAAACTGTTTTGAACAGATCCATGGAGTCCATTTCATTGTGGGGGGAATATTTATTCCTGTGGGGTGAGATCAGCCCCATCACCCCAAAACTCATCACCTTGTTCCCACGGGGTGGGCAGCACATCCCTGCCCTGCCCCGTGCCCCAAGGCTGGTCCCTCATCCTGTGCCCTGCCAGGCACATCTTTGGCATCATCACCACCAGTCCTGTTTCCAGGAGGGCCCAATCCTGCAGGATAAATTCCCCGTCCCCCACCCCCTTGCTGTGTGTTTCCCTCATTGTGGTGCCACCCTGTCTGTGCCAGCTGCTCCACCAGAGGCTGTTCGCTCTGGCACTCGGCCTGGAGCAGAACTTTGGGCTGTAAACACTCATCACTCGTGAGTTCTATTGCAGGAGCACGCGGGTTCCTTTCCTGGGGAACCGGGCAGGGACGGAGCCCTCGGAGGGGTCCCGGGGGGCTCAGCCCGCTCAAGGTCAGCGCACGGCAGGGTGCAGGACGGGCTCTGGAAAGCAGTCAGCACATCCAGCCCTTAATGGGATTGATGATTAGTGGAGCACCGAGGGGAAAATTAGATTAGAAAAACAAATGCAAATAATTTCGGAAGTCATGTTTGTTCGGGGTGGAAGGAGCTTCCACTGCGAGGGCTGCAGGAAACGATTTGACTGCAATCCAGAAGAAAAGGAGCGCGGGTCTGGAGTACATTAGTGTGGTGGGAGGCCGGGAATAGCAGCCACTTAACCCTGTCATTCAGCAAACATTAGTGAATTATGAGTGTATTATATGTGGGTGACGTGTTTGGTGCAAAGCCCGCGGGCCCGCTGTAGCAGCACTGAAATGGGAGTGGGGGTCGGTGTCAAAATGTAAATTTTTATACCAGCTCTGGAACAAAAATAAGATTTTGTGTTCGCCTCCCAGCTACTGAAATCAAATTGCAGCCGAAATCAGAGTTGTAAAATAAGCAAAAATTTCCCTTCCCTGTCAAATTAGTGCCCTGATAAAGAAAACAAGGGAGATAAATGTGATTTACTCCCTCTCCCTCCTGTCATAAACATTTATGGCCGGGCTGTGAGGAGGCAGCTGGGGCCGTTGGGGTTGTGCGGTGTCACCCACGTGGGGCTCTTTGGGCACGGAGCCCCTGCCGTGGCACCCATGGGGCTCTTTGGGCACGGAGCCCCTGCCATGGCACCCATGGGGCAGGTGAGCTCCTGCAGCCACGTCCCATCCTGTGCCCCCCGTCCTGCAGCTCTGCCCCAGGACCCCCAGCCCATCCCAGGGGCTCTGCTGTACCCCAAGCCACAGGTGGCTGTCCTGGCTGTCCCAAAATCTCGGACTAAACCCCAGGTTTATTAACGTGCTTGGAGGACTCGAGCACCCTCTGCTCTTTGGCAGAGCCACGCATCCCCAGTCACACATCTCGAGGCTGCAGCAGAAACCAAGCCAGCATTTACTAATTATGAGCTTAAGCGCTCCCTTTCACGGCTATTTACAAGGGCCGCCTCATTATTAATACAGAATAATAAAATAGAGGGGTTTAAAACTCATTTGTTCCACTGGGTACCAGTCCCTGTGGTGGCACGAGCCCGGATGCCACCCAGCCTGAGAGCACTGAAACCCTAATGGTGATGAAACCCACCCCAGAAAAACCCTCCCCTCTTTACCATTCTGCACTCAGCTACATCAGATACCGACAGAAATGAGCAATTCCAGCGAGCCGAGGGCGCAGGGCTGCACTTTCAGCTGGTCAGGAGGCGGTGGCAGCGCTGGGTAAGGAGAGGCACTTGGAATTCATTAGCGCTTGGCAAAGGGCACCGGCACTTGACTCTGTTTGTGCATCAGGCAAAGGCTGATTCTGCTCTTTGCCTCCACGGCAGCAGCTGCAGCAGCACGGAGCAGCTCCTGTGGGCAACCAGAGCTGCTCAGGGAATCCTGGAAGGGAATCCTGGAATGCTCCGGGTTGGAAAGAACTAAAAACCATCCGGTGCCACCTGCGGGCCTGGGCAGAGACACCTTCCACCATCCCAAACCGTATCCAAACCCGGCCTCAAGCACTTCCAGCCTCTCTGGGCAGCCTGTGCCAGGCCCTCCCCACCCTCACGGGGAAGAATTTCTTCCCCACAGCCAAACTGGATCTGCCTTCCTTCAGCTTGAAGACATTTCCCCTGTCCATCGCTGCACACCTTGGGAAACTGAAGTCTCTTTCCAGTCTGAGTGGAAGGGCCTGGCCCTCAGAGCCTGTCCTCAAGGCCACTGTCCCCACGGTGGCAGCAAGCCCAGGTCCCCAGGCTGACCTTCCCAACATCGGCACCTCAGCCCTGACGGGGTCAGGCCTGCTGAGATTTGGGCACTTTGCCACCCACTGCTGAACCTCGGGGAGCAGCCAAGGTGTGGTGCCAGCCCAGCGCCCAGCCCGCAGTGGTGCCCGTGGCTGTGACACCCTGGGTGGCACTGACCCCAAGAGTGGGTGAGAGGAGCCCACACACCGCTCCCACTCGCTGATAATTACTGATTAAAAAGCCAGAGGAGGCTGAAACGGGCATTAACTGGGTGAGCCCGCCATGGGGAGATGGGAGCAGGTACAGAACGAGCACTGGCAGTGCCTCCATCGCCTGGTGACAGCCAGCAGGGATCTGTCACCTCCTGCATCCACAGAGCACGGCCTCTGATGTGACAGAAGCATCAGCAAGAATAAAAAGCAGGAGAAAGTTCCTCATTTTGCCTCTTCTAAGCCCGCAATGCATTTCGGCCACCAGTAAAACTGCTCAGGATTGATACAGGGCTCTACCGTTTCAAAGCAGCAGTTTGTTCCTCTCAGCCCCTTTCATCCACACATCCAAAGTGTTTCCTACAGCTCCTTTCGCAGCCTTTTGATGGGTGGGGAATTCCTCTTTTTTTGAGATTGAAAAAGTGAGCCAGGCTGGGCTGTGGGCTCCAAACCCTCCTGACTGGAGGTGGAGCCCAAGCCAGGTCCTGTCCCTGTCCCCGTCCGTTCATCCCCGCACATCCTGCACATCCCCCCAGCCCCGCACATCCCGCACATCCCCGCACATCCCCCCAAATGCCGCTGGCCGCCGGTGCCACCCGAGCCCGGGGCGCCCCGACAATGCTCTGCCATCAGCAATCAGAATATCCGCCGGCCGCTCATACAAAATCAAGAGGCAAAATAATTGAGTCAATAGCGCTGCGAAAGGATTGCTCCTTCAGCCCCATTCTTGTGCTAACAATCCTCCAGCAGGGCCGAGGATTCAAAAGCTCCGAGAATCAAAAAGGAATTGATTTGATTCAGAGCTTTAGCCCGGGCTGTATTTAACACATCATTTTTGCTTGCTCTACATAGAGTAGGAACTGTTTGAAGGCAGAGGAGAGAAGGGAGCGGGAAGCCCAGAGCAGGAGAATATTCTGGATTTGCTGCTTTCCCAAGAGCGGCTGGACCCACAGCGTTCCCCCAGGCCCTGGGGACCCACCAAGAGCCACCCCCGGGCTCCAGTGCCCTGAGCATCCCCGGGGCTGGAAGGGAGTGGAGGGAAGGAAATCCCCTCGGGAGAAGGCAGAAGGTGCCTCCTGGTCCCTCCCGGCCCTGGCACAGGGTCACAAATGCAGGAGCAGACCTGCAGGAGTGCCACCCAAAAGGGGGCATTGCCAAAATCCCCACAGCCCCAGGGGTGCTGCAGGCTGGGCCAGCACTGCCTCCTGCTCCCTTCCAAAGCACCGTGCCCAGGATCCTGCAGAGCCCAAGGAGCCCCTCGCCCCCAGAAAAACTCCCAGAGTAAAACCCCTGCACTGGCAAGTCTCTCAGACAGTTATCTGCTTCTGGGCAATCACCCCGACACATTTTCATTATATCTGTGAGAATTTCTGAGAGCCCTTCTTGGCCTGCTTTTTGTCTATGAAAGGGGCAGAAAACTCATCCAGCTCCAGCATCCCACCAATGAAGACAAACCAGAAAATGCAGAATTTCCCCAGATTCCATTAAAGGCGAGGGCAACGGCCACTGGGAGAGGATCAGCAACAAGAAGCAGCCCACAGCTCCCTCCAGGGCTGTTCTACAAACCACACACTAAAACAGCAGCAGCACTGAGGCACCTTAGAACATCACACTGAAACACTTCCAGAAAAATCGGAATGAGCTGCAGAACAAACCCACTATGAGCAGGGGAAGGAGCAAGTGCCAAGAACATTCCAGCAAAGCCCTTTCTCTGCTCACTCTGAGGCACGTGAAGCTCTTTTAAACCCCTTTGGGTCATTGTACCCCTCACAGAGCCCAGCTGGCGCCTGACACAGCGGGGACCCCCAGACCCCCACCCAGGCAGCTGATCTGATGTGTTGATGAGCAAGTCATGTCGCTATAATAAGGAGTGTTTATTTGAATAATAAGGTCAGGGAGTTAAGTAGTTGGTATTCCACTCGTAGGAAGCAGTTTGCACAGTGTCACTAATAATTAAAGGGGTTTTTTGACTAATCTAGTTGCTCTTCCTAAATATACTCCACTCTGTTCAAGAAACTCATCAAAGCAGCGAAGTGATCTTCGAGGTTATTAATCTCCTTTGCTCCACAGCTGGAGCAAATTTATTTGCTTGAATTAGCATGTAATAAACTTATAATAAAGCTGCCATATCCCTCACTTTAGAGATATAGTTTGTGTAATGGGTAGTTAAATCTAGGTAATGTAGCCATGGTCTTTGGCTCAGAGAGAAGGGGAAAGGAAAAACCCAACAAAGTGCTGTGCTGTCCCCAGCACTGGGGTTCAGTAGGATTCCTTCCAGGTCAGGAAAAGCCAAACTCTCTGGAGACCAGTGGGGGCAGATATTAAGCAGAAATTGTTCCCTGTGAGGGGGGGGAGGTCCTGGACAGGGTGCCCAGAGAAGGTTGGACAGGGCTTGGAGCACCCTGGGATAGTGGAAGGTGACCCTGCCCATGGCAGGAGTAGAAATGGATCCCATCCAAACCATTCCACAATTCTGTGACTCTGCCAAGGCCCCGAGCAGCCCCTTTACCACCTCCAGATCACCAGGAACAGCTG